TTCTATTTAAATTTCCCCCTTGCCTAGCTCTCTGGCTTGGCCTGCCAGCAGCTCTGAGATGACCTGAGACAATGCCCACTTCAGCCCAGGAATAAACAGTAGCCAGCAGCAACCAGTCCTTGCTCAGCCAATGCCGCCCCTTCTGCACCTGCCGCCTGGGGCTGCGCTGGGCGCCACTCCTCCCCGCCCACCCTTCTGGGAGCTGGTGTAATGATGGGTGCGGCCGGGAGAGGAGAGGCGCTCACAGCACCTGCAGCAGCACCTGATTGTAGCCCAGGTGGGGAGGGGAGGGCCTGCTAAAGCTCAGAGTGGACCCACAATCCTCTGTCTCCATGGGGGCAAAAGCAACAACAGGCTTAAAACCAGGAGCTTCGGTGTTTAGCTGTGCGTGTTTACACCACCACCACAACAGCCCAGGATCTTTGCCCTGCCTTCGCGGCCTCTCTCCTGTGGCCAGGACACCCTGACACATGGGGTGGGGGAGTCGCTTCTTTAACCCATGCCTGGGACCCGCCACCCAGTGTCCTTCAGGAAAGCCGAGGCTTACCCCATAAACATCAAGGGCCAATTCTTTTTTTTTTTTTAGGAGAAAATTTTTGAGGAAAGTTTCAATAGAATGAACCATGCATTTGCCTACCTTCCTTTTCCTTAATCACTACTACTCGTTAAAAGTCCCTGGGTGGTGCAAATGGTTAACTGCTCGGCTACTAACTGAAAGGTTGGTGGTTCGAATCTACCCAGAGGTGCCTCAGAAGAAAGGCCTGGCAATCCACTTCTGAAAAATCAGCCATTAGAAACCCTATGGCACACAGTTCTCCTCTGACACACCTGGGGCAAGTGGTGTTGATATCGACCTATACACACATACATCGACACCTGCAGGTTGCTGGGGTTTTCAACCCCAGAAATGGTGTTGTGTTTCCTACTCTGCCTTGCCCCTTGCCCTTTCTAGTTCAGAGACATGGCTGTAGCTCGTTCCTTCAATGCCGTGCAGGGTCCCAGAGCAGGTGCTGCCCCTGCGCCAACACAGAACACACCGGACATCAGTCTTTCAACACGCAAGGACGACCGTGAGCATCTGCTGTTTACAACAGCATCGCAGCATCTGAGCGGGGGCCGCCTGCCGGCCTGCCTGCCTCCTTACCTGCCTGCCTTTTCAAAGGGACCCAGGTGTGATGTGTTTTCATTTCTTGGGCTCTTTTTTTTTTTTTT